GTTGTTTTTAAAGGTCAGAACTTGCTTGACATGGAGCCCGAGGAAAGATCTCTTGCTGGTCTCTTCATGAGCTTCCAGTCCCCGGTTGAGATCCCTGGTGTTAGCAATATGGACTTCTTGAACATGGCCTATAATGCTAGGAGAAGAAAACTTGGTCAGCCAGAGCTTGGTCCTCTTGAGGTACATGATTTCCTACCATTTGTAAATAGTTTTCAAAATATTATGTTTTTTTCTTCAACCTAGTACTTAACTGTCAAATGGAACTTTCCTCCCCCCTATCCTTCAAATACAAACATGGCTAAGCATGGAATCGTTTACGTTGTCTTTTATTGGGTAAAACAATTGAATTTTTATTTAAAATAGGAGTCTGATGTTTACAAATCTATGTATATACACCATACCAAATATAGTAGTATCAAACTCAAAAATGAATTATTGATTCAAATGAACCTAATAAAAATTCATCCAACATGTTTAGAATGAAATTAATATTAGATTACAAATTATAATTAGGCTATATTACAGGAGCAAGTATTGTGTTTTGAGGTCCTTGCACATTGATGCACTAGGCCATATGGTTTTACTATGACTTTCTTCTAGAATTGTTGGATGTGATGTGAGTGAAGGTTAAGGTATTTGAGGAGTTCTACTTGAATGGAAAGATTGGTAATCATGTGAACTCTACTATAATTATTTTGGTTCCCAAGAACAGTTGGGTTGTTAAGGTTTTTAATTATCATCTTATTAGTCTATAAGATCATCCATCAAAGTGCATTCATTGAGATTTTGTGAAGTTTTTGATGAAACTATCTTGGTCCGCAAGAGTCCATTTCTTGGGGCCCAGATAAATTCTTGACGCTTCTATTATTGCTAACGAGGTTGTGGAGTACTAGAAGTTGAGAACTAAAAGTTTGGTATTCAAGTTGGATCTTTGAGAATTTAAAAAAAACTTATTAGTGGGTGATCTGGCGCTTCTTGGAGAAGATTATGGAGCAAAAATGCTTTGGTATGAGGTGGAGGGTTGGATTTTTAATTGTCTTTCATTCATGTCCTTTACTGTTTTGGTGAATGGAAAATTGAGATTGGTTTTAGGGCAAAGAGCTTGAACATAGGGAATCCTATCCCTTTTTCTTTTGAAAATTGTGGTAGATGTGTTGAGCCATATGTTATCTCATGGCATGTAAGAGATGTGATTTAGGTCCTTTATGTGAAACGAGACATGGTGCTTGTTTCTCACCTCTAGTTTATTGATGATACAGTCCTTTTTGTTTCCCATGATCATATGAAGTTATAGGGTTTGTGACACTTTTATACATGCTTGTGGTGTGCTCTCTTCAGCCTGTGAGGCATGGTTCTTGAGTTATTTAATCTGAGTTGGGCTATTACAGGTTTTTTGTGGCTCTGCTGCATCTGGGGTGATAAGTTCTAATAAAAAACTCATCTCTCTTATCCCCTTGCTACCATGTGGATCATCCAAGAGGAAAGGAATTCAAGGGCTTTTAAGGCTTAATATTTTCTTTTTGTAGAGTTGGGGATTCTTGGTTCTAGACCATGAATTTTTTATTCAAGGGTTATCCTATCATTAATGACAAAGATTTAGGGCATTTCATCAATATTTGACTGATTTATTATTGTTTTATACATGGGTGGCACCCTTGTGGCACTTTAACATATAAACTTTACCTTTTTCTTTCAAAACGAGTTTAGTTTATATCAGATCTATGTATAAGTTTCAAGAAGATTTGGTGAGGCGGGATGTTTTAGATGTCTATTTAGGAGGTCTTCTCAGATTGCTTCCTTTTGGTATCCAGTAGTATGCAAGATTTCTAAACGCCTTGAGTGTTGGAAAAATGCCTTTTCATGCCTTGGTGTTAGGTTCACTCTTATTCAGGTTTTTCTTTCTAGTGTTCCCCTTTATAATCACTATCTCTCTTTGTTCAAAGTTTCTAGGTGTGTAGTGGAGAGAGTATTGAGAGAGCGATGAGGAATTTCCTTTTGGATAGATCGAGTGCATCTATGAGGGACTACTTTCTGAGGTGGGAGAGCTGCTATTTGCATAAGAATGATGGAGGTCTCAATATTAAGAACCTTTCTTTAACATAAAAATCTGCATTTATTGGCTAATAGTAATGGCGGTTTCATTAGATCCTAATTCTTTGTGGCACGGGATAAGTACATGATTCCAATATAAGCTCTTTTCCCACTCATAGGAGCCCCTGAAAAGCTATTTCGAGGTTTTATGCTTCATTCTTTTTGCTCAATTTGAGAGTGGGTGATAGGTTCTCACCTTTGTTAATGGAATATATTCTTGCTTAGTTTGAGAGTGGGAAGACATCTAGTTTTATTTTTTTCAAAAATAAAAATTGTATATGTGTATTAATATTGTTGATAATTTGTTTCTCATTTTGTACAACTTATCCTTGAGTCACAGTAATTGTATGTCATTTTTTAAAAATTATTCTGAAGGCCATTGTTCACAGAATATGTTCTTTTTAAAAAATCACAATTATCGTGGAGGAGTTGATATAATTCATTCGATAAAACTCACCCTTTTTCTTGCTGTGACTCAGGGCCTTGATTGTAGAGTTTTATTTTAGAACTCTTCTGACATTTTTTTACCTGCAAGTCTTCCTTTGATTTCTTAGCTCATAATTCGTATATTCATAATGATGTTTCCAATAAGTGTTTTTGGAAGTTCATGTCCCTTATAAGATTAAAATCTTTGTTTGGATTACAATTCTGAATAGGCTGACTTGTAAAGATTTGCTCCAAGCTCACAGGTCAAGTTTTGCTATGTCCCCTGGGATGTGCATGATGTTCTTCAAAGCCATTGAATCTCACAGTCACCTATTCCTACATGGTGATATGGCTCAGAATCTTTGGTCTCGTTTATCTGGCACTATCGGTTTTTCTTGAGTTGCTCTTTTTTCTCTCCTGAGGGATTTTTCTTTACTCTCCTTACCACTGGTAGTAGGAAGGAGTTAAGGCTTTATGGTGAGACTGTCTTTGATGGTTGTGGGTTATCCAGTTGGAGAGGAATACCAAGATTTTCAGAGATCATGTCTCTCATTTTCTCCTTCATTGGGATAGGGTGTGTTCTTTTTGTGTCCCTTTCAGTTAAGGGGCATTGGTATTTAAATATTATTTATCTATTTTGTACAGAGAATGGTCAACCCTCTTCTTTTGAGCATGTCCATGTTTTCACCTTTTCTTTCTTGAGGGAGGGTAACTAGTCCTACGTGCTTGTACTTTTCTCTTTCTATCTAAAATACTCATTTAAAAAAAATCACCATTACTAGATTACTGAGTCAAGTTCTCTGGGAGCGATCGATATTTCTGGCCTTCTTATGGGCTTAGCCCATGAGTAACTTACTGATATCTTTATTTCTAGATATGTAGAAATTGGGGGTAATAATACACTATTCTTTTATTGGGTTTGGTTGTAACTAGGTTTTGGAGTTCTTCTACTAGAAGACTCCTGGAAACTATCTTATTCTTTGATATTTTAATTATCTTTTTGCTCTTAATACTATTTCTTTTAAATTACTTCTTAAAATTTTCCTAATGTTACATGTTGGAGTTTCCTATAAAAGTGTTCTTTTTGGATTTAGCTATTTGATAAGGATGTTAAATAGCTTGGTTCATTTAGATATTAAATTAATATTTCGTACAACTAAAAATATTATGATATTTCTTATTGAAAAGATAAAATATTATGATTGTTTTTTTCTATTTAACTAGCATAACATAATGCAATATATAATTAAAATAAAACTTAGAAATATTTGTTGGTTGCACCACAGTTGCAGTTTTAAATAGTTCAACAAAAACTAGAAAGATTCCTAATTTAGAATTGAACTTTATTTGCTGAAATATTTTGATTTCTTGGAGTTTTGGAGTTTAGGCTTGAATGAAGTAAATTTGTGTAACTTTTAAAAGAATTTTATGGTTTGTACTAATTGTTAGATTTTTGCACCTTAAATATTCATTTTAATTTTTTGGTTGATTCCGCAGCTATAACGGATAAATTATTTAAAAATAAAAGCTATAACGCATAAATTTTTATAGGGGTTACAAACTGAGAACAAAACCGAACTAAACTGGTTGAACCAATTTGACTGTTTTGTAATTTCTGTTTTGTGTTCAGTTTTGATTTTCAATTCAGGTTAAACTGGTCTGGTCGGTTTGGTTGAAGGGAACTGCACCTAGTACTTGGAGAGATTGAACAAATAACAGTTTTTTCTTACTTTTTGTTGTTTCTTTTATTAGGAAGTACAGTGTATTAAATGCTGGAAATATTTATCAAATGGGTTTTAATTGCTCTCTACTGATTTTGCTTTTCACTTCTGAAATTTTAATTGTTTTGATAAATGAAAAAGAGATGGATTCTTTTGACCGAACAAATCCAGCATTTGTGCTCGTATAACAGATATATTCTGGTGGTTCTAAAGAGTGAAGGATCTTATTCCTCGCTTACATTACTATGCTTTATGATGAACTTTGCCGAATAATTTAGTTGTGGTTCCATGCATTACCTTTCTAACTTGCATCATTTTTCTCTTGTAGTTTTATGCATATTTGTCTTCTAAACTCGAACTTGTGAATGTAAAGACCGACTTCCTCAACAGAAATGTAAATGAAGGATTTAGTGGTGGTGAAAGGAAGCGCAATGAAATTCTACAACTAGCGGTAAAGATATGATTCTTTTTTATTCACCATTCATTTATTCTTGATTGTAGTAACATCTTATTGCATAATGTAGTCTCTTTGTTACCGTATGCCTTCTGCTTGTAAATGTTTTAGAATTTTCTTTCACCGTCTTCGTCTTAAAATTTATGCAGTAAAGGAAGTTGAACATACTCGTATGATATGAGATTTGGAATCTTTTTCATAAAAAGAATGTTCTTGTTTGCTTTCATCAAGTCTAGTTGGTCTAGTATTTAAGGCATTGAAGATCATTTAGTATGATAAAAAGTATCCTTGCTTCTTTTGTTTTCATATAAACTGAAGTTAGAGCCAGCAGATTCTAGAATGTCAAAAAGTAGTGATTGGAGCCTTTTTATAGGGATGAAAATGGTTTTGTTTGGAGGACAAATTCGCACCGAACTGAAAGTTTTGGTTTCCAATCTTAGAATCCAAATTGAACCTAATCAGTATGTCAAAGAAACCCATGTAGTTCAGTTTGATTCAGTTTAATTTAATTGTAGCTAATTTTATGAACTTTAATTAGTATAATAGAGAATCTTAAACATTTTATAGTTATATCTTTTTTTATGTTTATTTGTGACCATATGAATTGTAAATGCTGATATTAAAAATAAGTATATAATAGATAAAATTAATATAATATATGATTCCTTATAAATATGTGAATACTATATATTCTATGTAACATTCAGTTTGATTCTGTTTCAAACTTTTAGAACCAAACCAAGGTGTTCAGTATTTTAGTTTTTGAAACAACTCGATTTACATTCAAACTAAACCAACCAAAACCAGATCGGTCAATTTGTTTTGATTTTCTAGTTTGTTTCAAATAATTTAAACCCTTACATCTTGTGGATTTTATTTGTTGGTGGCGTCGTACTAGCATGTGAAACTATTGATCATTACTTGAACTGTCTAAATCCTATTTTCTATTTCTTTTATTTTAATCTATTCTGTTTATTATAGGTTCTGGGGGCAGAGTTGGCTATATTGGATGAAATTGATTCTGGTTTAGATGTTGATGCACTTCAAGATGTAGCCAAAGCAGTAAATGGGCTTTTAACTCCAAAAAATTCTGTGCTGATGATCACTCACTATCAACGACTGTTGGATTTTATAAAACCAACATGTATCCATATAATGGTGAGTTATTTGCAAAACCCTGAAAAACTGACTGTATAGATGTGTGTCTTTCATATTTTCTTTATGGAAAAAGAAATCATTATAAAGAAGGAAAATAATATAAAGAATGAGGATAAAGTATCCTCCCAGAAAAAGGAAAAAAACCAAGGAAAACAGAACAGGGTCATATGGCTGATTTTAATATAAAGACAGCCTCCCGATTCCTCATAGCGCCTTGTAAGCCATAAGATGTCTTAAATAACTGATTTTGGATTTTATAAAACACAAAGAAGTACACATTAAATAATTTCTTTCAAATATAGTCTTAAATGTGTGCGCCTGTAAATTGGTTCCTGTGGTGTAATTTCATCTTTTCACCTCAGTTGTATATTTTCAATTCCTTCTATCTACAAGTGGGTTTTCTTTCAACATTGGATTCAGGATACATGACTTGGTTGGTATCATTAGTTCCTATAACTTCTACTCCCTTTGATATTAGATGTAACAAGCGCACATCTCAAGAACTATTTTCAATAAATTTGATGGTAAATAGAATACAAGTACAAACGTGCTACAGCACCAAGTTGGAATTTTCTTTGGATTTCAATATTGTTAGTATGCTTCCACATTAAATAGTCTCTTTATATATTAACGTTGTTTGGATGTCAATATTTTTTGTTCCTTTTTCTTTCTTTTATCGGGTTCTTTTTCCCTTTCTCCTTTGTACTTTATTTTGCATCTTTTTAATTTCTTTCTATTATTTTCTTATTCAGTGTATTCAAACATCTTCAAAACATGGTTAAATATTAGAGAATATGTACTTCTATTGAATTCTTTGCCATTGCCTTTATAGGAGGACGGAAGAATCATAAAAACAGGGGATATTTCCTTGGCAAATATTCTAGAGAAAGAAGGTTATAAAGCAATCACCGGCTCATAGTTGCAGAATATTGTTATTGGTACTTTATCTCTCTTCCATCCATGCAAATCTTCTATATTATTTCTGAATCAGGAAACAAAGAAACATCATTTTGAAACTCTAGCATCATTCAATTGTCAACCCAAAAATTGACTATGTCCAGTTTACCAATGAAGATATTATGGAGACATTTGACTTTCTTTTAACCTTAGGCTGGACATTTAACTATTTTCCTAATAGCTTTATAAAACCATTTGTTTAGTATGCCTCTTATGGGCGTGTGGATTAATCTCCAACCGAGAGTTTGAAGATAAAGAGAAATTTCTCAAAACAAAAGACAGGAGATGAAATAAAACGATAAGAGATGGTTAATGGTTACCCTTCTTTATTTGAGTGTTTTGGAAAGAAAGGATGGAGAGTTATCTTACCTCTTTGGTCTATTTAGAGGGAAAGAAGGACAATGATAGTTTATCATGCACTTGTTTTATTTTCGATTGATGCAAGGGAAGTTTTTGAATTACTGTAAACAAAAATAAGAATGAATCTTTTCACTCAAAATTATTGGGTTTATTTGATACAGATTTTTTAGTATAGTAATCTTCCACATCATGTATGAAGATTACAGGAGTACTTGGGATTTTATTTATTTGATGGCATGATGTTACTCAGAGGTCCTGCAAACCCAGGTTACCATGTTTTGCCTATGTCAAGACAACAATATCAGTAGTTAAAAGCCTAAGGCATGCATAACTGTGGAATTACGTCTTGGATGCATAATTTTATCATGTCTACTTATCACAAACTGTAGTAGTGCTGTACATCAGAAGCCAAACTTCATTGCTCTATTATGGTTCTCTATGATGACTGTTTTTTATACTCTTTTTTTTTTTTTTGTATTATTTTGTTCTTTTTCATTTTTGTAAGAATTGCAAGATGAAGAGATAATATGAGAAAGCACCTTTTCTTTTAAGCTGTTATTAATTTATACAGTGTAGTTTCAAATATTAGTATATAAATAATGTTTACCTTACACCTGAAAAAAAAAAAAAGAAATTGCATCATTGATATTAATCCTTGAGAGTTAATAGCATGCCAGGCCTCTTTTGTCTGTTTGGTTCTTGATTCTAATTTTTTTTTTTTTTTTTGGGGGTTGTTTTGTTCTTGTTAGAATATAGTTTTCAAAAGGCAAAAATCCTAGGTGTATTGACCTGCTTTCATTGTTGCTGTTAAGCCTTATTCTTTCAAGTAATAAGCACATGTTTAAGGCAAAGTGAATTGATCAAAAATCACAAAGTTAGGATGGTGGTTTTTGATATTGTCCTTTCAATGAACTCATTGGTTTAAAAAGAGAAACTCATGTTTTCTTATCCTACCACATGGAAGATCCTTCATGCTTATACATTAAAGGTTGCAGGTTTAAACTGTGCCATTCGGATTAGATGGTATCCTTTCGGATTAGATGGTACCCTTTCACTTTCACTTTCAATAACTTGGAGGTTGGATATTTTAGTTGCAAAAGATATATATATATACACACACACACACACACACACATTATGCTGAAAAAATATGTTTTAGTTGTAAAAAGGTTGCAGGCAGCTCTTACAGGCCACGTAGGAGGACATTGAATCAATTGATTGCATCAGCCGCTTAGAAATGGAATTTGTCTCTAATTTAAAAAAATAACAATTTTGTAGTGAAATTCATTAGAATGTAGTGGAAAACTCTTCAATATAAACATTGATAAAGTTACTTTTGGACAATTCTGAAATAATTGTAGAAATTTATTTTGATAGGTATGCTTAATTTAACATCATATGAAAAATATGTATGGAATTAAAATAATACATTATAAGGCCTTGATTATATATTTTTTTAAGTACATAATAAATAAATATAAATTAAATAAAATGTATAAATTTAATCATAATAAAATATTTTATCCGTATAAAAACATGATAAGTTAATTGATACATAATTCAATTTGATCACTACAATCCAATTAACGTATTAATGAATCAAGTTTTATACTAATATTGTAAATCGGCTAACATTAATCTATAAAATATTTATAAAATAGTGAGTTTTATATTTTTTTAATAAAATTTAAGATAATTTATTTCTTTTGTTAAATAAATTTTTTAAATTTGTAATATAGAAATAAATAAAAAATATCAAATAGATAACGAAATTTATAGAAGATAAGTACATTATCTTAATTAGTAATAGCCAATCAAGTGGGCATTTCGACTGATTGAGATTTTTTTTTAAAATTTTAAAAGTATTGATGAAGTATTTTTAAACAAAAATTAATTGGTATTTAATAAAAATTATTATAAAAAATATTATCATTTTAAAAAAAATTAATTTTTATATTTAATAAAATTAATTTTTAAAATTTTAAATGTAAATTTTTAATAAATACAAAAAATATTTTTTAAAAAAATTGGACATTATAGTTTTAACTTTAAACTTATCAAAAGCAGTTTTAACTGTTGTCAAAAATAATTTGTGTTTTATTCATTTAGTTGCAGAAATTTTATATTTTGTGAAATTAGTTTTTGAAATCTTAAGTGTACATTTTTAATAAATATAAAAGATATTTTTTAAAAGTTATATGTTGTAGTTTTAACTTCAAACTTATTAAAAATATATTCTCACTTTAATTGTTGTAGAAAAACGTTTTATATTTTATCTCTTTAGTTGCAAAAATGTTTTAAATTAAGTAGATTTTAATTTTAAACCTATTAAAAGTAAGTTTTGACTTTAATTATTAAAAAAAATATTTTGTATTTTACTTGTTTAATTTAGAAGTATTTTTAAAATACAAAAACACTTTGTAATTTACTTGTGAAGTGGGATTTTTACTTTAAACCTGTCAAAGTAGGTCTCACTGCACAAGTATTTTTAAACACAGAAACTGCAATAAAAAACTGCAACAAATGGACTATAAAATTGGTTTTATCCAATAATTATTTCTACTCTCTTGAATTACGTTTGATACTTAAAACAATTCGTTATATATTGATGAATGGAGTTCAGCCAATTTAAAATTTTAAAGATTTCTAGGCGTTTAAACCCGTTTGAAATTGATTTCCTATTTATCAATTTTTAAGCCCAAGTTCGGCTCGTCCAACATTTGCTTGGACTGATGAGCTCTCAAGATAACATTCAGCCTAACTTTACCCTAATTCTCACCCCATGAGCCGGACAGATTGCTTAGTTGGTGAATTAAAGAGGGAAGAGAAAACAAAACAGCTGAAGAGAAAGCAGGTAAACACGCTCGCATGCACAATGCGCATATGGCCGACTGATGGCACCTACATCGATTGGAGGTTCTTCAGTCGTTTGGTGAAACTGGACGGAGAAGGTGAAGAAGAAGCCGACCGGGAAGTGAAGCAGAGAATCCACGCCTGAGGTATCCTATGTATCTCCTGTAACAGCCAAGCTCGAGAACAGAGATGAAAGGGTAAATAAAACGAAACTGAGTGAATGAGCTCGAAAGAGGGGAATGGGGAAAGTGGGAAAATCGCTAGGGAAAGCAGATAAAATGGAGAGAGCTTTGAGAGAGGGAGTTAAGTGAAATCGAGAAAAAAAAAAAGAAAAGCTTACTGGGGAGGGGTTCTGGCTAACACTAACAAATAGATAGATAGATAGATAGATTGATAGAGAATTAGTATAATTCGGGAATTAGAGAGTCAAAAGCAGCAAATAGGAGCAGTTTAGCTATTTGATGGGTTTATGTAAAGAGAATGATAAGAGTGAAGCTATTTGATGGGTTTACTCAAATCCCTCGCCAGACACAGAAGCTCCGCATATTTCTTTCTGTTGCCTCTGGATCATCCAACTTCACCTCTGAAATTGAAACTGAAACAGAAAGAATTGCGAGAATAATCAACGACCACCCATATCCTCATCAACCACTACAACCTACACTCCTTAGGGAGGTTCCTGCAGTTGCGCTCTCAACAACCCTTCTGGAGAATGTCCTGGGTCGCCTGTTTGCAGCGCATTCTAATGGCCTTAAGGCTTTGGAGTTTTTCAAATATTTCCTCCAAAATGCTTGCTGTGGTCCAAGCTCAGATGCTTTTGAGAAGGCACTTCATATCCTCACACGAATGAGATACTTTGATCGAGCTTGGGAGTTGATGGTGGAAATGCGAGAAAAACACCCTTCCTTGCTTACCCTGAAATCAATGAGCATCTTGCTGTCTAAAATTGCTAAGTTTCAATCATATGAAGAAACCCTTGAGGCATTTTTACGAATGGAAAAACAAGTGTTTGTTGGGAGGAAGTTTGGTACTGATGAGTTCAATGTGCTTCTTCGAGCATTTTGCACTGAGAGAGATATGAAGGAGGCAAAGTCTGTGTTCCAAAAGATGCATTCTCGATTTTCTCCAAATACCAAGACCATGAATTTACTACTTTTGGGATTCAAGGAATCAGGTGATATTACTGCAATGGAGCTCTTCTACCATGATATGGTTCGGAGAGGTTTCAAGGCAAATACCTTAACTTATAATATCAGAATCGATGCTTATTGCAAGAAAGGATGTTTTGGGGATGCTTTGAGACTTGTTGAAGAGATGGATCGTGTCAATTGCTTCCCTACTTTGGAAACCATCACGACCTTGATTCATGGGGCAGGGGTTGCTCGGAACATACCAAAGGCACGGCAGTTATTTGAAGAAATGTTTCAAAGAAATTTGCAGCCTGATATTGGAGCTTATAATGCATTAATCAGTGCACTTATTAGGTCCAAAGATCTTCAGGCTGCAATCAGATTGATGGAAGAGATGGAAGAGAAGAATATTGGGCATGATAATATGACATATCATACCATGTTTTTAGGAATGATGAAATCAAGTGGCCTTGAGGGTGTTTGCAAGCTCTACAATAGAATGATTGAAAGAAACTTTGTGCCTAAAGCACGCACAGTGGTCATGTTAATGAAATTCTTCTGTCAAAATGGCAGGCTGGATTTGGGCCTTAATTTGTGGTCATTCCTAGTGGAGAAAGGGCATTGTCCCCATGGTCATTCACTGGATCTTTTGGTAACGGGATTATGCTCTCGGCGAAGGTTGCAAGAGGCTTTTGAATGCTCAAAGCAAATGTTGGAGAGAGGAAGGCAAATGAGTGATGTGGCATATCAAATGTTGGAGAGAGTTCTACTGCAGTCTAATGAGACAGAAAAACTGGAGGAGCTCAACAGGATCAGAAGAAAACTGCAAGATATTTTACCTCCATCAACATCAAGATGGCTCTTTTCTGGTACTACCTTGTTCTCCAGATTGTTTTCCATCAAAGTCTATTAACTATTAGTTCATTTGAACTATATAAATCTTGTCCTTTGACAAGAATTCTATATAGGAATTCTAGTTTCCTTCTCTAGGAATGAATCTTATGCTTTTACAAGTTCATTGGCCTTCTTTCCTTTGTGAGCTTATTGACTCATTAATCATTCCATGGGTCAGCAATACTTACGTTTTCTCTACTTCTACTGTCAATTCTTGCAGTATATCATCAGTAACATGCAACTTGTTGGAAATATTCTGAAACAAATATGCATCAACAGGCAATACATATTCGACATGAGTGTTAAGTTAATTAAGGAAAATTTATTTCTCTTTCATATGGCAAAATTGGCTTCATACTGTTTCTGGTGATGATTTTAATTTCTGGTGATTGTGGCAGCCTCTGCTTGATGTGCAGCCTCCATCATGGCTACCTCTATTTTCTTGGTTGTTGAAGAACCATGCAGTTGTTTATCTCTTCAAGTGTTTCACGATGAAGTGCTCTAAGGTGACTTGAATATCTGAAGCAGATGTTAGTTCATCCAACACCTGTAAATAGTCCTTCACCAACATAAAATCCAATGTTAGTACACTATCAGACTTCAAACTGTAGCAGATCAAGGCCGATAAACAGGACAAATAATTCAAACAAGTATTTGAGGAAAATGTGAAAATTTATAATTGGAGTTGGAGAACTTTTTAAAAAAAATAATAATAATTGGAGCTAGGAGAACAGAATTTTAAGTTGGAAGTTCAATAGGTAGAATTTAGGACTCTTGTCATCAAGGGATTGTACATAGTAGATAGCCAAAATTGAAATAATATATTGGATATAGCCAGTGCTAGAGCATGCTTTGATTTCCCCGGCAATAGTGAATGGTAAAATGCATGTAGTGCAGCCTAATGGAGCATTCAATTCAGTTTCTTTCTTCATTAGTGAGCTATCAGGATATGTGTATAAGAAATGTTTGTAAACTGATAAGAGTTGTGTTGACTACTCGGTTAGGTTGGGATAGGAATTCTATTTCTCCTGTAAGAAAAAAGAGCCGATAACAGTAGGAAATTTCCTTTATGCATCATGCTTTAAGGCTCTGTGTGCCCAATGTTCATGGAGACAACAAGAAGTTGATGTTCTGTTATGGGCTAATTATGTGCCAAAAACTTTATGAGTACATCAATCAGCTGTTATGTTTATTTCACATGTTGCTGTTTTATGTTAAGTATGCAAATATTTTACTTTGCAGTTATGTTGGTCTAGTCTGGAGCAGTCATGTTGGTTGAAAGTTGGTAGTATCTAGAAACTAGTTGTCCTTAATCAAACAGTTGTCTCTTTGTAAGGCCTTAAAAAGGCTGTTCTATTAAGGAAGAAAGTTAAGGGGAAAAAAGTTTAAGAAAAGTGTCTTAAGTACTTGGGAGATTTTTAGGTTTTATCTAGTGAGCCCATACTATTGATCACTTAACAAGATCTTGAAGTTGGAAAGTAACTTTTAGTATCTATAGTCTATAATTTCTGCAGGGAGTATTCTGGATACTTCTGTTGTGTGTGATTTATGGTATCTTGTTAAAACCCCAACAAAATCAGACAAAAATGGAGCTGGAAGCAAGGAATCAAAAAAGGAGCACGGAAGTGAAGATAAACAGGGAAGCAGGAAATTAAAAAGGATACAGAATCATAACGGCAACAAGGGATCACAATGGGTGCATGAAGAAGAAGGTGAAACTGCGCAAGGGGAACAATCTGATAGGATCCCCCGAAAGTCTCAATGGATTCCTATCCTCAACCCACGATATGCAGATTGAGGGAATCATGCCCAGCAGAAGAAACGGTCTCCCCGGAGGCATAACAGAAACGGGGCACTGAAGAACCAGCTTCAGCAACCGTCCGCGATCTGCTCCACCTCCTCCACTAGCTGTGTTTATCTTTTCATATAATCTTCACTTTATCCTTTCCGTAGAAGTAGGAAATTTCTGTTAAAGCTTTATGTATTTAAGGAACCACGTTCATGAATAAAAGCAGATCATTACAGCAATTAAAATTCTGGGTTAAGTTTCTCACCTTGAGCAGAAACAGCAAGCTAGAAAGTGTACACTCTGATTGGGACCTATCATTGGGATCAAAGCTCAGACACCATGATATCAAACAAGAAACGAATCCAAAATCTAGAGGCTAGGCTCGGCGGACTCCAGAATAGCTTCAGCCGCATGGAAATCGGCTTGACCGACAAGATGCGTATCATGGACGAAATATCCGACTGCTGACAGAGACTTTTGCCTCTCACCGAGACGTGTCCAGCAACAACCAAATGAATCAACCAAGCCCACGGCTGGTCCGAGAAGACGATCACCAACGGGAGGATGGGAGACCCCTGGTGATTTTGAAGGTAACCAAACTTGATTTTCCTTCTTTTGTAGGCGGAGATCCCATTGAGTGGCTGAATCGAGTAGGCCAATTTTTTGAGTTTCAAGCGACCACCCCTCAGCACTGTGTCGCCTTATCCTCCTTCCACTTAGAGGGAGAAGCCAACTGCTGATGGTAGTGGTTAAGCAAGACGTACAGAGAGGAAGGAAGACCTATCAGTTGGGCCAGCTTTGAAGAAGAGCTTTGGGCTCATTTCGAGCCTACGGATTATGAAGATGCAGATGCGGCCTTGATCAGCCTCAAGCAGACTAGCCCATTGCGAGAATACCAGAAGGATTTCGAGAGGTTGGAAAATAAGGTTCGCGGACCCAGAAGGCATTAATTGGGGCCTTCATCAGTGGGCTTAGGCCTGAGTTGGTAGAAGGGATCCGCGTGTTCCGGCCCAGTACTCTGAAAGATGCAATCGAGTTGGCCCAGATGAGAGAGGAACAAGTGGATCGTTAGCTTCAGGTAAGCCAACCGAACCGACTTCAAACCGGTTTGAACCCGGGTCCGCAAGTCGTTTCCTCAACACAAACCCTAGTTGCCCCAAACGCCCCCAGGTGCCTCTCCTAGGAAGAAATGCAATGATGGTGGGCCCAGGGACTTTGCTTCAGCTGCGACGATCACTTCACCTCCAGCTGCCGGTGCTGCAAGCCCCAGCTCCTGTTGATTGAAGGAGCAATTACCGAAAAAGAAGAACCCGAGACGGAAGAACCCGAGATCTCGCTCCATGCACTCACGGAATGGTCTCTGGCGCGCACCATGCACTCACGGAATGGTCTCTGGCGCGCACCATGCACGTGCCCGTCTCCATCTATAAACAGAACTTGATAGTCCTCGTCGATGGTGGTTCAACCCACAATTTCATTAGTGAACGGATGGCCACAACTTCAACTTCCCGTGACACCTACCAACCCTTTTCTATTAAAATCGCAAGCGGCCAACCGATGAGATGCCAAGGCAGATTTGAAAATGTGCCGGTCTTAATCCAAGGTATCTCGTTTGCCCTTACTCTTTATTCTTTACCATTAATGGGGCTTGAATTGGTCTTAGGGGTACAATGGCTGGAGGAATTGGGCAGGGTCGAATGCAACTGGAAAGAAATGACGATGGCCTTCCAATGGCAGCAACGGTCGCGCAAGCTACATGGGCTGACCACCCCGGCCATCCAGACGACATCACTGGAGGAAGTTCGCCGCTCAGTGACCAGCAAACATTCTCTGTACGGTGTCTGCCACCTTCCCCAATTAGAGAACGATCTGGCCATCTTGTCGCCTGAAATGCAGAAACTCTTGTAGGAATTTAAGGTGATCTTCAAAGAGCCCGACCACCTTCCCCCAACCAGGGAGGTAGACCACCGGATTCCCCTTAAAGATGGCACTGAACTGGTGAATGTCCAGCCTTACCACTATACCTATTTCCAAAAAGGTGAAATTGAGAAACAAGTGAATGAGATGCTAAGTTCGGGGCTCATTCGACCAAGCACCAGCCCCTTTTCCTCACTAGTCCTCCTAGTCCACAAGAAAGACAATACACGACACTTCTGTACCGATTACTGAGCCCTCAATGTAGTCACAGTGAAAGACAGGTTTCCTATTCCCACTGTAGACGACATGTTGGGTGAATTGTATGGAGCAGCCTACTTCACCAAGCTGGACCTAACCGCCGGGTACCATCAAATCTGAGTACATTAGAATGACATCTATAAAACAGCCTTTCAGACTCACAATGGCCACTTCGAGTATCTGGTAATGTCATTCGGCTTTTGCAATACTCCCTCTACCTTTCAGGCAGTTATGAATGATATTTTTAGACCATATCTTCGCAAATTTGTATTAGTGTTTTTCGATGATATACTGATCTATAGTACCAGCTGGGAGTTACATCTGGGACGGAAATTCTTTATCACCACTGATTAGCGCAGTTTGAAGTACTTAATGGAGTAGAGAATTGCCACTCCAGAACAACAGAAATGAGTGTCCAAATTATTTTGCTACGATTATGAGATTACATATAAGCTCGGAAAGGAAAACAGCGTCGCAGATGCTCTCTCCCGTCATACCAATAGCCCCACCTTAGATGCTTTATCCATTTGTCAGGCAGATCTATGGGATCAAATCTAGAAAGAAGCTAACCATCCCTACATGAAGAGACTAAAATGGATAGCCCAGGAACAACAGAACGGGC